TTGCGCTTCGTGCTGCCGGTTGGACTTGCGCCGGGCGCGAATCTGGCTGGTCGCTTGGATACGCGTCCGGATTTGCGTCGCGCGGCCGACGATGCGACTTGATCAGTCCCCGAGGGTGATTCGGTCGCGCTCATGTTTTTTGCGCGCGATTGGCTCGCTGATGATGGTCGAGGTGGTGGTGGAAGTGCGCGGCGCGATCGGTACAGTTGAGGCGGGGACGGTGATGGGAGACGCGTTGTATGTCCGAGCACTTTTAGTGCAAGGTTGCGTGCACGTGCGTCTGACACTACGCCATCGACGTGTCGCCTTAACGCTCCGTCACATCTGCTTGCACTTGTTGCCGCCCCTTTGTCAGTCAAATGTGAGATTCCCATATGCATGTGCTTCACTTGGCAGGGAAACGCTCTCGGTGCGGGCAACCATCTTTTGCCTTGTCGGACGAGGTCGATTGGTCTATTATGTACAGTGCTCATAGGGAAAATGTCAGTCTACAATTATTAACAACCGTTCAGGCAGCAGCCTTGACCGGCTCGCCTTCTTTGATGTCCAGCTTCTCAACACCCTCAACAAGCTCTGTCCCCCCGTTGGACGCGGTAGCGGTATTCTCGGCTGCTGCGGGCACTGCAGCCTCGCCCGCAGTCTTCTCTGCCGTCGCACTTCCAAGACTAGGCTCGTCTCCTCCCCACAGGTAGATCTCGCTCTCTCCTATGATCTTGCCAGCCTTCTCCCATCGCTCTTTCCTCTGTTGTCTCCGCTCCGTGGAGATCTTCTCAAGCGCAGGCCAGTAGACGGAATGGTCGTACTTGAAGTCGACTTCACCGCCAGAGACTTTCATGAGCTGTGATGTGGGCACGTGGTTGGGCAGGGGCTCGTTCGACTTGATCTTGGACTTGGTGACGGGGTCGATAAAGGGGTTGATGAGCTTGAGGAAGGCATTGACATACCATGGGACTATTCGTAATGTCAGTAGTGCATACGTGGGGCATTGAAGTGGTCCTTACGGTGTGTGAGCAATGCCCTACCAAGTCGCTCGGGGTAGTGGTTCTGCAAGATGTCAAGGACCTGCTTGGCGATGCCCATGCTAGGGGTGCCACCAGCTCCCGTGTTCCTGAAGTCGATCAACAGTGCCAGACTCTCCTGGCCAGGCGGGTGCAAGGCTATGGTGCGCTCCAGCATGTAGACCAAGTGCTCTACCCGCTTGGGTGTCTCCTTGGTGTTCTGGTTCTGCGGCAGCAGGTACAGACACGGCCTTCCCTCGTTGTCGAAACCAAGCAAGACCTGCTTGCCGGTTTCGTTCTCCTCTGAGATGTACTCGGCAGTGAAGCGGTCGGTGCCGTACTCCCGACGCCATACCAGCGTCGAGCGCAGGCGCTGTATCGCTTGGGGAAGGTTCCACTTGGTGGCACGCAGGTATCGGAGGAGGCATTCGCGAGTGAGCCACATGCGCTCATCGTCGCTGATTGGTGAGGTTTCGGCAGTCTTTGCAGACGTGGTGGGCAACGTTTCCCATGTGCGGACATCGGCGAGAAGCTCGTCGTATTTGGTTTGCTGCTCGGCGGTCAAGGCAGGGGCAGCGGCGGGCTTGCAGCCGGGTGCAGGCTCCGCAAAGGGGCCAATTGCAGACATTATGTTCAGGATGTAGTTGATCAGCCCAAGTTGGTCTCGTCTACCGTTCTTGTTCAAGTATCTTGGGTGAAGTCCTTGTTGCCGTGTTGGCGTTGGTGTCAGCCTTGGGCAACTTTTTGGGAAGCATGGCGGTCCCTGCATGCATGTCGATCGCCCTAGGCCGCCTCCATGCTAGCCCCACCGACACGCGCGACGCGTCTTCGGAGTTCGCACGCGCAAAGTGCTCTCCCGGCCATCACCCAGAATACTCACAGTCACACACAACATGGACGACCTTACGACCGAACTCACCGAGCGCTTCGAGCGCTACTGCGACACCAAGGATGACCAATTCCCCGCCGATGTCCTCGCTGAACTGCAGTCCATGTCACGGCTGTATTCTATCTCGCCCGAGGAGCTGGATTTCAAATGGCAGGCCTACAACATGAAGATGGGCGGAGAAGAGAGCAAGATGGACGTGAAGACGGCACGAGACTTTAAAAAGACGATACAAGATGCATTGGAGCGCGAGAGCAGAGGGAAGGCCCAGCAGAGAAACGAAGTCAAGCGGGGCCAGCCAACACCACGAGCAAAGGGTGGGGACATGTATGATATGTACGTTTAAACAGCGGAAAGACATCTAGGAAATTGTCATTGACTGGACGCAGACTAGAAGGACTCGTGCCAGGTACCCCACGTCAAAGCACAACGAACGGCGCCAATGGCAGTACAGTAAAGCGCAAAGCCAACTTCCAGACACCGGGAGGCAAGGCCACCAAGGCTCACGAGATGAGTTCGCCTGGAGGATTTATGACACCGAAGGCTGAAGCCCCAGGTGGTCCGTATGTATACTGGGTGCACACCGCAGACATGCTCTAACGCCCACTCAGTGTCTTTGACTTCGCTTCCCGTACGAACGCAAACGACATCACCGAACAATTCATGCAAAGCGAAATTGCCATCCCGGAGCCGCCGTCAGAAGAACCGAAAGAACCTCGCATTAAACTCAAGGCGAATACGGACATGTCCAAGTTCTCATACCGCACCATGGCCATGAAGCTCTCTGAAGCGTCTGAAGTCTTGGATGATAGGATTGACGAGTTCCGTGACCTACTCAGGGACACAACGGGTCTGGACGAAAGCGCCTTCGGCAACCCCAATTACCCGTCACCGAGCGAGATCATTGCAGTCGGAAGAATTGCAAGCGACACAAGCGAAGGCAAACTCAACACGGCATCACTTGTCCTTGAAGGCTCGCGAAGACATGGCTCAGGCCGACGTGTACCGCTGAACGTAGAAGGGCTATCGTCGTATGACTTCTTTCCCGGCCAGATTGTTGCTCTGCGTGGTACCAACGCTTCGGGTGACTCATTCGTAGTGTCGGAAGTCCTATCACTTCCACTGCTGAATCCACCTGCTACAAGACCCGAAGAATTGGATGCCATCAACGCGAGATATCTCGACACGCCCGATTCCGATCCCGAGAATGTACGACCTCTCACCATCATGATTGCGTCCGGACCTTACACGACCGACCAGAATCTCGACTTTGCCCCATTACTCACCTTCCTTGACAATGCTGCTGAAGCATACGCGGACTCTATCATCCTAGTGGGCCCGTTCCTCGACGCAGAACATCCTCAAATTCGGTCAGGAGACTTTGATGCTCCGCCAAATGTAAGCCCAGATCAGGCTACCATGACTGATCTGTTCAGACACCACGTCTCGAGCGCCATCCAAAGCTTCAACAAACGCGTACCAACATGTAATGTTCTTCTGGTCCCCAGCTTACGAGATGCGCATCACCACCATGCTGCGTTTCCGCAGGATAAGTTCATCAAAAAAGAGCTTAGCCTGGGCGCTGCAGGAAAGATGGTTCAATGTGTGACCAACCCGATGACTGTCAGCATGAATGAAATGACAGTGGGCATGTCGTCAATCGATATCTTGGATATGCTACGTAGGGAAGAGCTGGCAGGCGGCAAGGCACGAAGTACGAATATCTATGAACGGTGCGCTCGAAACGTCCTTGAGCAGCGGAGTTTCTTGCCCATTTTTCCGCCAACTGGAAGAGAAAAGCAGCAATTCATGCCCGCGCCAGTTGAGGAGAAGGTCATGAAGAATGAGGCACGGAACAGTGAGCGGAAAGAGGGTGAAGAGCTGGAGGAGGAACAGTTACCCAGCCCATTTCTTCCGTTGGGCACCATGCTCGACACGAGCTATCTCAAATTGGGCGAAATGCTGAATGTACGGCCTGACATACTCATAACTCCCAGCGTGCTTCAAGGCACAGTCAAGGTATGCTAAGATGGCTCGCCCACTAGAGAACGATATACTAACCCTGACCAGGTCGTGGAGTCTGTACTGGTCGTCAACCCTGGCACTTTAGCCAAACGGCGCGCGGCAGGGACATATGCCCGCGTCATAATACAACCAGCTGTCGTCAGTGACGCAGAAAGGGAGAAAGGGGTTGCAGTCGCGCACAAGCTCTGGGAACGGACGCGTGTTGACATTGTGAAGATATAGGCGTTGGATGTTTGTCATAGGTATACCCTGGAATTGAGCATCAGAGATGTGTCTGGCGTTCCCCCGTGGCAATGGGCATGAAACCATTACTATCAGGTGCAGCTCAGCGTGTGGTGTTCGTGATGATCATGTAGGAGGCAGTCGCAAACACTGGCTGTATACTAAGAGGTAATTAAAGAAGAGACTAAGCTGGTGCGCTGCAGTCGGTCTACTTTAGTATGAACCTCAACAGGAACAAGTTTTAAGGCGATGTAGGCTTCTACTATATTGTCTTCTACTATCCTCTAGTGCGTGATCAGCATTTTCCTTGGACACATCGCACAATTGGTACCGGATCTGATCGCGGAAGTTGGGATGGTAGGTGCATAGTTACCGTTGAGAAGTGCATGTTTGCCCTAGGCAGACGGCGAACACATGATGCCGCGTCACTTTTGCGACGCGACTAGTAGGTCGACAAACCGATGTTGCTCCATGTCACTTCGTCGCGCCTCCTTTGCGCATGCACTCCTGAACTTGGTTGGACCCGCACCTTAACCAAAGGTCACCATAGATTTTCTGCATTGCACATTCACTGCGAGCATTTTGCCCGCGCCTGTATTAGGAAGGCACTAGCTACCCGCGCACGTCAGCAATATTCACCAGTGAGAGCAAGCGGACTGGTGATGGTCTTTTGCGACCTGCTCCGTCGGTTTCTTTGCTGTAGCAGCAAGCGCACAGGTATTAAGGAGACGCACGAGCTTCCTTGTCGACCAGAGCAAAGTTCGCCTGTCCCCAGCATCCCAAGTCACAGTCCTCAACACCACGCTGAATCACCTCAACGTCCACGCGACTCCCTCGACGGTACCCAAGAAGACGACTCCGCATCCTCCATGCCGCCCAAGCGCAAAAACACAGACAACGCCGCCGCTATGGACCGTCCAGAAAAGAAGACAAAGGCTCCCAAAAAAGGAGCAAAGGCAGCCCCCGAAGGTAAGTCGACAGTTTCCTCATTTCATTCAAGATTATCCGTCATTGGTTTGGCGGCGATGCATGTCAACCTTGGAAGCTCGAAAGATGCAAGGCTAGCTTGCCGCGGCCTTAATTCCGGGGCTTGGGTGCACGAGCAAGGGTTGAGTCGACTCGGCGGGGTCGGCCCTACAATTGCTGCCTCGTCGGTGCGTCACAGCTCGCCCAAGTATCGCCAACTCTGTCGATTGTCCACCACGGTTCGGCGACCAAGACGCGCACCCAATCTGTGAATTCACTTTGCGCGATTCTTTGTCTCTCAACACTGCACCCATTCCCTATCACCAAATTCTGCGCACCGACTTGCGCCCTCCACCCCTCCAACCCGCCGCTTCCTCACATCGAGCTCGCAATCAACAGCTGGAGTTCGATACAAGGCGCTAATACAATATGCCTACAGTATACACTGCTCAGCAGAAAGCTGCAATCCAGCAGTTCATCAGCTTTACTCAACTTGACAAGTCCACCGCGGTCAGGGCACTCAAAAGCCATGGCTGGGATGCACAGAACGCCGTGAACGCGTAAGTACAGCTTTTCCTTTGTTGTCCATATATACAGTACACATTTTTTGCATGCTTGTTATATCTACGGACGCGTCGCGCCATCCAGACGAATCGACGTATCGACCGACCGATCAACCAACCGACCAGCACCTGAACACAGGACGAACATACTTGCGGACACACATCTGGGAAGGGACAACACAATACCTCTTGGGACTGAGGTAGTACCATATCACAGACAAAGAAGCAGGAGGGCTCGGGTCGCGCAAGAAGCTGCAAGTCATGGTGACAGATCGAGTTCAACGCAGCTGCGGTCTGCGGGCACATGCAGCTGTGACTTCCAAGAACACAACGCCACTGTAAAGCTCCTGCACCTACAGTTGAAAGTGGTCTTACTCCGTCCCGTCCGAAGCGCTGGCACAATAGCACGCTTTCTCCTGCGGCATTTCCTCACCCACAACAAAGCCCTCGATAAGCCTCCCTCGGTGCAGTCGTCCAAACACACGCCACATCCACTCGTCAGTTCAGCTCAGTCGTGCGCTACATCCACAGCCGTCATGTTCGGTTCCTCACAAGACAGGGCTAGGCAGCTAGCCGGGCGTAATAGACGAGAACGCATCAGTTCCATCAGCTCATGCTCTAGCTCTCGATCTATGAGCCTTTCAAGTCGAACTTCTCATCTGAGGGACGTCCAACCCGCCCAAGTACACGCAGTCAGCATAATCAACACCGCCGACGACGACCGCCTCTCTTCTGGCAACACCGCTGCTTCCTCCGATTCCACCGCGTCCAGTATCGAGACCTACACAGTTCAGGGAGCTTTCCGACCGCTTGCCGTACCACACCTGGTTGAGGGTCTGGACTGTTTACAAACGGAGCAACATCGAGTCCAAGCGGAACACCTAAGCCGCGTGCTACACAGCAGTCTCAGTCTTACCAACGTTACCAACGCACCAGAAAGTCAGTTCGCGCTAGCCCGTCATATCCGATACGGCAGTTTGGGAACAGACTCGGTCATTCTACAACATCCGCGCAGTATCACAACTCCCCTTCCAAGTACATGCTTGCCGGAAACTATACTCGAGGAGCTGCTGGCGCTCTTGCACACTACCACAGTGCCTTCACTTCGCACCTCCGTCTCTGATCATCACCTAGGTTCAGAGCCGACTGTGTCGTTGCGCGGTGGTTCTGGCAACTACGTCGGCTCTGGGGGCTACAGCAACGACTACAGCGAGCATGACATCTCAGGAAGACGCAGTCCCCAAGCTTCAGACACCCCAGGACAAGCTGCGCTCTGGGCTCTCGAGAGCCATTACTTGAAATGTATGGCTCCCATGGACTATGCTTCCTATGTGGACTCCTGCAAACAAGAGACTCTTTGGTTCGAGTCCATCGGGATCACCCAAATATGGCCGAGAATCGAACAGGCCTTGTGGCATTTGCCCATAACCGTAGGCGTAAACTACAACACGTTCATCCAATCACTATCACTTGCGAATCGGAGTGTGTTCGCCAAGCTCTTCAACCTCCTCCCATTGATCAACCACAAAACGATCCCAGCTCCCGCTTTCGAAAAATGGAAGTTGGCGCGTCTGGCCTTCTTCCATGGTCTGGGACGTGATGGCAGGACCAAATTCTGCCGCATCATCATCGAAAGAATAAAATTGGTGACAGGGGTTGATGAAGTGCCCGTGCTGAGCGATGCCACGTCGTCACCTATCGACACAGTGCATCTGTTCATGACTGCGAAAATGTCTGTGCAGCTCAATCATTCCATATTACTGAAGAATTAGCAGTATCGCGTGTACCTTTACGATATGCCTGGATTACAAGTCACTCACGACGAGCTTTTCGTTACAACTGCCAACTGGCAACTCATTAAATTCCTTGACAAAGACTGACAAATCACGCAGTTACTACAGCAGCAGCAACAGCGGCGGTTCCCAAGGCTCATCTGCGATGAAGACCAATCTCAACAAGCTGTTCGATCGGTACCAAGAGGCTGGTGCACCAGACAAAGACATCGTCGGAGTAGAGGGCACGATGCAGTATTTCGACGAAACTGGCGTCGATGCCGAGGGCCTAGATGCGTTGGCGGCTCTTGAAATCGTCCAGGCCCCTACCATGGGCGAGATGAGCCGCGATGGCTTCGTCAAGGGTTGGTTGGAGCGCCAGTAAGTGCCACTATTCTTCAGGTTGTCTTTGAGGTCATTTAGAACCTAACCCAAATGCAGCTGCGATACCATCGACAAACAGAAGTCGTATCTCAGGATTCTCAAGAGCGAGCTCTCGGGCAACAAAGACGTCTTCACACGGGTTTACAAGTACACATTCACCATTGCCAAGACTGCGGACCAGAGGGCTGTTCCACTCGAGATGGCCACCGTGTACTGGGAGTTGCTCTTCAGTTCGCCCTTGTCTGCTGTTCGGTGGTCAAGTCCCAACACTCCGTGGCTTACTTGGTGGACTGAGTTCCTCAATACGTCGTGGAAGAAGAGCGTCAACAAGGACATGTGGAACGAGACACTCAAGTTCGCGCAGCTCTCGCTGGAAGATGAGACCATGGGCTTCTGGAACGAGGAGTCTTCATGGCCGTCTGTCATTGACGACTTTGTCGAGTTCGTCAAGAAGGAGAAGCGGGGTGACACGGGAGAGCAGCCGATGGACGAAGACTACTATTGATCTGGGTCAAGACGGTCTATGAAACTAGCGGGGAGTTATGGTAGAGGACATGCTTTGCTGCTATAGCAGCTGCCGGCGTTTTGCTCATCAGAAGGCGGGTTTACTTGATGCATGTTACGAGATTCACGGGAGCATTCCATACCATGGCCAGATTTACAGCACTTTGAGCATCTTCTAGTAAATAGACTAGCTCAGCATGATACATCACCGTGCACCATCTATTTTGTTTCGTTTGTGCTGGGTGATTACACAGTGGAGCAAGTGACCGTCGACAGCAGCGCAAAGCAGGCGAAGAAACAAGATGCCGCTGTTATGAGACGCGCGCAGGTCGTTGAGTCGGGTCCAAAGATGTTTGCATTGCTGCCGACATGACCATTGTTTGTCGCGTCCGTTGTTGTTCGGCGAGGAAGGTTGGTGGTGGTCGCTGCGCTCTTGGTGTGGCTAGGGCCAGCGTAAGCGAGGTGCCACTAGCGTGTCCACTGAGCTGCGGCGCCTTCGCAAAATCCATCAACGCCAACTTTTGACGACACCACATCGACAACTAACCACACAGCAGTCAAAGTGCGTATACCGAGGCGGACTGCTGTTACTGTACTGACGATATTCCAGATGGTCGCCGCTAAGAAGCATGTCCCGATCGTCAAGAAGCGTACGCCGAATCTGCCTCCATGACCTCGAAAACTCGCGACTGACGTATCCGTTTACAGACCGCAAGCGCTTCAACCGCCACCAGTCGGACCGCTTTATGTGTAAGAGACACCGGAGCTGGAAGTGAAGGGATTGGCATCTGACACTGGACAGGCGTCGACCCCTCATGGCGCAAGCCTAAGGGTATCGACAACCGCGTCCGCAGGCGGTTCAAGGGCCAGGCTGCTATGCCCAAGGTACGGACTACCAACTACCCGGGCGGAGGAAGAACCTTGTCATCGAGTGGACACTGAGCGGACACGGAATGCTTGATGGACCAGGGCTGACGGAACGCCTCACAGATCGGATACGGCTCCAACAGGAAGACCCGCCACATGATGCCCAGCGGCCACAAGGCCTTCGTCGTCAACAACGGTATGCTACCTATCGAGTACGACACCACCCCAGGATCCCGCTAACGGATGCAGTCTCCGATGTTGACCTCCTCCTCATGCACAACCAGACCTTCGCCGCAGAGTACGTTCGCCAGCTTCCGTTCCACCTTCCAACATACTAATGAATCCTTCAGGATCGCCCACGCTGTATCAGCACGAAAGCGCATCGAAATCATCGCCAGGGCGAAGCAGATCGGTGTCAAGGTTACCAACGGCAAGGCCCGCGTCAAGACCGAGTCGTAGATGGGTGCGGATTTTCACTTTGGGGCGGGGCATACAAGGCGTCTCTCTGATTAGTTACGATCTCAATGGGAAGGCTTTTCATCCTCTTCGGCTCACGGTACCCTTCGATACGGTATGGGGAGAGGCATGCACTTCAAAAAGCATTGCGACATGTTACTGCGGAATGACCAAAGATATCAAGGGACAGGAGCAGTAGGAATGCAATGAAAAAACGAGCCAAATCAAGATCTCCTACATGACGTATGATGTGATGCTTTTTGATCTTAGACTCACTGCAGAGCCGCTTTGATGTCGCAACCCCAACTGCCGGCCGCGCAGAACAAACGTGTGTGTTGCGGTATCGTCCGTAGAGTGCCTTGGGTGCTGCATGTACTCTGCGCCAAGCATCGAATGCGCATCAATCAGGCTGATCTTCTTCACATGCCACAGATCAGGTCATGGCTATCGAGATGACGACTAGAGGTTGCGGTAAAATATGCCGCGTCGGTTGTTGCTCAGTCTTGCGAGCTGTTCTTCTATGAGTTAATGGTACTGCATCCACGATGTTAGAGTGGGTTACAATATTCAGCTAGACTTTTATCGCAGAAGCCTTTGACCAGCGACGAGTATACCTTGATGTCGATTTCGCATTCATGTCATCGACAAGCAACATCGGACCTGCATGCTAGCACTATGCAGATGCCTGTTGGATGAAATACTACCGGTTATTTTGGTCAATTGCTTGAGCTGCCTAAGCATCAACATGGCTGACGGGCATGTTTCCGGATGCGCACACCAACTCAGCGCGTCGCCTGCTCGGAAGATGCGCAGCCGCAAGCCATGTCCACTCCTCAACCTACTCACCGCCATCAGATTGATGAGTGAACTCGACGCACATTGATAAGGAGTCTGATAGTAAAGCCGTATGACCAGCCGTACGAGTCACAAAGGGGCAGCGCAAGAGCCATGGTTGCTTCTTGGCGCCGTCGCACGTACGCTGGGTGCAGCCGCGTAGAAGCAAGTGAGGCGCCGCGTGGGCTCAAAGGAAGGCCGGTATTTGTCGCGTGGCAGCGGGCGTTGTAGGCAGGGTTTTGGCTGTCTATTTGCTTGTCTGGCATGGGTGCGGAGATGGAATGTTTCACGAAGTTGGAGAATCGGAGCGAATGTTGCAAGTACGGGGAAGGGGATCTGAGGAAGGTTGAATTGCGCAGGCTGGCGCTTACTCTGCTTTGACGCACGCATCAGATTGTCGAAACATGCAAGCTGCTTAGAAGAATGCTCTTTGTTGCTTCAGGCGACCCGGGGCTCCGAGTCCGTTGTTTTGTCATGGTTCCTGGTGCTGGTGCTGGTTCCATCGACGGCGGACATGTTGAGCGCCTCGCTACCGGCTGCGCTTACGGAAGTTCCGCGCACGATCTAGCAACGCCTGTCGGTCCACTCAGTCCCTTTCGCATCCGCACACCTCAACCCAGCATCACACCGCTCTGAAGCTGCCCTCAGTCTGTGCCTGCCCTTGCAATTTCACACTCCCAGGCGACTGCTGGACAATCGACCTGGCTGCGTCGCGTTATCTGGCATTATCTGTCCACGAGTGGCTGGCACCCCAGGTGATTGGCCCAGGGCGGCACTCTATCAACGCATGTGGGCTGCTGCGAGGGAGGCACGAATGCGGAGCCTGGCATGCCACCACGACAATCAGCGGATCCATGGGCGCGCGACAGGAAAGAACCGGGAACGTGTACCGCTGAGAAGAGCTGATTGAGGCAGTGTGTCATGACGAATTTCTGATGAGGCCCGTTTTACTGAGGGTCCGATACGCTCGGGGGCGGCGTGCGAGGACTCGGTGCTCACGTTGGCATTGGCCTTAGATGTCTGACTATTGCTCCCCGGTACATGGTCCACACTTGTACCCACGGTAGGTCGAAGCGCATCCCAATTTCCTTCCGTCAGCCTGGGAAAGATTTTCAGACCCAGCACTAAATTAGCTCCCGTCTTTTAAATATTTCGACACCCCAGCGTCTTTGTTTCGAGATTCCTCCTTTCACGCGCCCTCAGTGAACCACGCTCGTCGAAGGCTTGCCTCGCTCCTCATAGCGACACAGTCGTGCACCTGCACGCAGTGACCGGCGGTCTTCGGCTAGTCACTTTCACAACACACTCCTGAAGTACCGGATTTCCATACCTCGTCTACCAACTCGCCTCTGTTCAAGCGGAACCTCGCAGCATCCAACGTTGCCACTGACGATCACGACCACGTGCTTTACCCGACGGCAGACTTTGCTTCAAGAACTTTCCGGAGTACTTGCCACCCCCGGAATCTCAGACCCACCACCACTGCCGACTGTCCCCGGAGGACATCACCGACAGTGATCAGAGGAGTTTTATCAAACGTTATTCGAAAACCATCGACATGGCGCCCAACCTCTTCATAGCCACTCAAAAGGCCTTTGCGCCCCACAAGTGGTTCAAGTCGAACAAGGCAGAGCAGTCATCCAAGGTCGTTGAAGAGTGGACCAGCCCAGTACCCGGCCAGTATGAGAGTATCCCCGGACGAGGCTGGTTTCTGATCGCAACTCTCAAGGACGATTCCAAGCCAGAAGGCCACCCCAGTTCATACATCAAGTCATCAACTGGCAGAGTGTACGTTCCCCTGGACCGTCCTGTTCCCCTGAAATACTCCCATGCCATCGGTCGTTATTTCCTAGAGCCAGAGTTCAACAAGCGCAAGAAGACTGTCATGATCAAGAACGACAAAGGCAAAGAAGTACAAGCAGGCTTCTTCCGGGTCGACGACGTGGCTTGGGTCAAGTGCTGGGACGAACACGATACTTTCATTCCTGGGAACGCAAATGGCGCCGCCGGCTATCAACGTTGGGTCTTCGATCAGCAAACACAGCAATTCCGTCACATGATCAAGCGCGACGATCCCAACTACGTCCGGTCCCGAAAGAACTCTCCTGCCCGCGATGCCGACAACCGCAGCCAAGAGTCAGTAAGCACTGAGTATCGCACTAGCCGGCCTGGTAGCACCAAGAACGGCTTCAGCGTTGCTAGCACAAGGGCCAACAGCTTCCGCTACCAGCCTCCGACTCCTACATCAAACCCGACTAGCCAACGCCCTTCAAGACAGAGCAGCCCCAAGCGCAGCGACAGCATACCTCTTGAAGAAGCCAAAATCGCCCTCAGACGTTTGGCTAGGGAACACGAGGAAGCCGCAGCTGCGTTAGCTCGATCTCGCATGAAGCGCACCGACTCCAAAGGTCGCGTGGAGCAGATTGAGCGCGGCCGTGTTTCCGAACGGGTCGGTAACTAAAAGTGTTTTACATTCGGCGTTCGGCAAAGCGAAATGATGGCGCCCGGCTATCCTGCGACATGGAGCTTGGCATTCAACACGTGGTGGTACCGACTTCACGGTGCTACGACTCCCCTTTACAATCTTGTAATCTTTCTAGAGTCATGATTTCCTTTTCACGGCCTGAGGTTCAACGTGTTCAGTTCATTAGCGATTATCGGTCCTTGTACGGCTGAAGGCCAGGTGGAGTTCAGTTTAGGTTTCGTTTTAGACTTTTGGCGCTTCACTTCTTCTTCTTCTGTACGGCGCATTACTACAAGGGCATCATGCACGGTATACCCAGATATGGTTTAAGCCCTTCGCGGCTCTGTTGTCAAGCTTCATAGACATTGTTTTGTAGGTAC